CTCATCTAAAAACAGCCTGTTCATATCCGTTGACCATTTATCAATTGGGTAATGGCTTGATTTCTCTTAAATTTAACTCAGTTCTCTATTTGAGAAATGAGGCCTATATCAGAGAGACACTTGCTAAAATGATTATTTCCCAGCTTTCTGCTTCCCTTCTAATCTTGGTTGTATTGGTTTTGTTTATACAAAAGCTTTTCAATTTAATATCATTGAAATGATCTAGTCTATGTTTCATAATGGTATCTCTTATTTTTTCCCTTCCCATAGATCTGATGGGTAGACCATTCCTTACTCTTCAAATTTGATTGCTTCTTTGTCTATGGTATCCTTTAGCAAGATGTAGCTTCCTTTCTCATCTCCTCCAATCAGGTCCATTTTTGCCTCTATCCTGTCTGAGATAAGGACTGCCACATCTACCCCCTTCACCCCAGTTGATGCACAATAGTGTGCATCTCTCTGCCTCAAGTGTGTTTCCTGCAAACAACATATGGTAGGATCCTGGCCTCTGATCTATTCTGCCATCTGCCCCAATTCCATCTCATTCACATTCACTGCCATGATAACTACCTGCATCTTTCCCTCCATCCTACTCCTTTCTTTTCCATTTAGCTAATTGTGCTCTTTAAGGAGTAGTTTTCTTCCATGGATTTTAGTATCTCCTTTTCCATTTGGCCAATTCTACTTTTTAAGTAGTTTTCCAAGTTGTTGACTCTTTTTTCATAATTCTCTTGCATCACTCTCATTTCTTTTCCCCATTATTCTTTTACTTCTCTTATATGATTTTTAAGCTCCTTTTTGAGCTCTTCCATGAATTTTTTCTGGTCTTGAAACCACGTCCCATTTTACTTTGGGGTTTTGCCCATAGGTGTTTTGACCTTGTTATCCTTTTCTGAGTTTGTGTCTTTGTCTTCTCGTCACCATAATAACTTTCTACAGTCAGATTCTTTGTTTTATTGTTGTTGCTGTTGTTGTTGTTTTCTCATATGCTTTTTGTGGCTTTTTTCCTCTTTTAAATTTGATCTCTGCTCCCAGGGTGGAAGGGGGCTCTGCCTCAGGCTTCTTATGCCAGGGACTGCAGGCTCTGGCTGTTTACCTGGTGCTGCACTGATGTTGCCCTGAGGCCCATGGAGGACTCTTGTGTCTGGTGCAGTGTTGAGGTGATAGGGGTGGCTGATACTTCTGGAGGAGTGTCTGGCAGCTTACCTGGTGCTGAGCTGAGGTCCTAGTGTTGATGTCTGGTGTGCGCTGAGGCCAAGTGGGGTTTTTCTGTGTTTCCCTGAGGCTACACTGAAGCACAGGGAGGTCTGACCCCTGGGACAATAATGAAACACCTGGAAGTCTGGCCACTAGAGGATGCCCACTTGCCTATCTGGGGTTGCAGCAAACTATATGGTGGTTCTTGGAGCTAGAATCTGCAAGTTCCCCTGGCTACGCTAAGACCCGTGGGATGGATCCTGGTGTTGGTGTTTGATGGTTCCACTGCACTGGGGCTTAGGATCTCCCACTAGTTTGCTGAGGTGGGGCTTACTACTGGTTTGTTGGGACACTTCCTGTCCTGGAATGCACTCCCCTTTTATCCAAGTGAGATGGACCTTTCTTCCTAATGCTCCAAGTCTCCTGGGCTAAAAGACCACTCTACCCCATCTTTCTGCTGGCTCCACTGTCCAGGGATTTGTTCTGCAGTGGTATTTTATGGTTGTTTGGAGGTAAATATGTGAAAACTACAGTGATTTACTACTTACTCCACCATCTTGTCTCCCAGAAGTCCAACGTTATTTCTTTTGACAATGTTGCTATTGTTTAAATTATTCAATGGGTTCTGCTCATGTCACACATCAATTTATATGTTTTCAAAATTGTTCATTTTTATGATATTGACATAGTTCAAGTTGTTCTAGTTCTACTCATTTCATTCTCCATAGTTCATACAAGTCTATACATGACTTTTTTCTATTTTCTCATTTGTTACAGCACAATAGTATTCTGTCATACCCATAAACCACAAATTAATCAGCCATTCCTCAATTGATGCACATCTCATTCAACAGTTTTGTTTGTTTCTTTGTTTCCAGGACAAAAAGAGATGCTATAAATATTTTTGTACATGTAGGACCTTTTCCTCTTTATCTGATCTTTTTGGGGATAGAATAAATAGTAATGGTTTATATAAGTCAAAGGCTATGCACTATTTGGTGACTAACTGCATTTATATCTTAGAATCTGGAGGACTTCTTCTCTCTTTTACCTGTGAGACCAGAGAGTTGAAGGAGAAGGTGAGTGAAGATGCTGAGAGAGTATGAAATTGTAAAGCAGGGGTATCAAATACATGATCCATGGGCCACATTGTGACTGATAAGACTCCCAGTATGAACCAGGTTAAAATGTAATTGAGAAATATTTAACAAAATGAGAAATATTTAACAAAAATAAATAAAAATACAATAGAACATAAATAACGTTGATATGTGATTTTCTAAGTCAATAAGCAGCCCCAGAGATGAAGGTTAGCAGTCCTTATTTCTATTTGAGTTTGACACCAATGTTGTAAAGGATAGGAGATGAGGGAGTTTGCGACAGATCTTTCAGAATACCAAAGGAGGTTGTTTTGTCTTATGATAGATGAAAAATTACAATTATTCTATCTTAAATTTAATCTTATTTAACTCAATTAATTTGAACAATTACAGGCCACTTGGCCTATAATTTCAGGTTCACTGGATAAATTTTCTCCATAATAAAGCAAAAAAGCAATATAGGGCAATGAAAAGAAAGCAGGACTAGAAATTAGAAAAACCTGGGTTTTAGTCTCACTTTTGACACATACTAACATATAATAGCTGTGTGATGCCAAGTGACAACCTCTCAGGACTCCAAATGACTGTCCAATCCTATAAACTGCAGAATAGTTACCACTTTGAACTGGTAGAGGAAATTTTCTCATTGAGAACTTCCCACAAGGCTTCTAGAATTTTCTTTTCGATTTTTTGTCACAACAGAGAGGGAGCTGAGGGGTTTCTGTTTGTTTGTTTGTTTTTGGTTAATTTTATTTTCTATGATAAGTAACTTGGTTACCAAGTTTGTTTAATTTGTAAATATATTCATTTTAAAAATTAAATACAGACCTGAAAAGTAGAGTGTTAAGTGAAAAGTGGTACAAAATTTAGAAATCTATTTCCTCCTAACTTAAATCATAAAATGGAAGCACGTCTCCATAAAAAAAGTTTTTGTCAAAAAAAAACCCAATAAAATTATGCTAAGCAAAACAACAAGGAAGTTCAAATAACATTTTAAAATTTTTCTTTTCAATTGATTTTTAAACATTCATTTTTTAAAATTTTGAGTTCCAAATTTTACCCCTCCCTCTACCACCTCCCCTAACCTGTGAAAAGGCAAACAATATTACACTCATTATACATGTGAAGTTACACAAATCATATTTCCATATTAGCCATGCTGCAAAAAAGCAATAAAAGTAAAGAAAATGAAAAAATATGCTTTAATCAGATTCCATCAATTGTCTCTCTGGAGGTAAATAACATTTTCATCATGGGTCCTTTGGAATACTTTTGGATCATCATCTTGATCAGATTAGCTAAGTCTTTCACAGTTTATCATCATTACAATATTACTGTTACTATGTACAATGTTCTCCTAGTTCTGCTCATTTCACTTTACATCAATTCATTTAAGTTTTCCCAGGTTTTTCTTGAAACTATCACCTTCATCATTTTTTTTTGTGGGGCAATTGGGGTTAAGTGATTTGCCCAGAGTCACACAGCTAGTTGAGTGTTATGTGTCTGAGGCTAGATTTGAACTCAGGTCCTCCTGACTCCAAGGCTGGTGCTCTAGCCGCTGTGCCACCTAGCTGTCCCTATCTTCATCATTTCTTATAGTATAATAGTATTCCATTACATTTATATACCACAACTTATTCAGCCATTTTCTAATTGACAAGAATCCTCTTAGTTTTCAATTCTTTGCCAACACAAAAACAGCTGCTATAAATATTTTTGTACATATAGGTCCTTTTCCCTTTTCGTTGATGTCTTTGGCAAACAGACCACTATTTAATACCACTACTAACTGGTATTGAAAATAACATATTTAAAGGGCAAATGTCATAAAATAATCTTAGTATTTAAATTATTTGTAAAGCACAGCTAAAACAGAACAGAAATTCAAGTTATGAATCTATGCAGGCTGTGAAAAGCAGCAGCATGATGATAACCTATATCAGATTGCTTGCCATCTTGGGGAGAGAAGATAAAAGGAAAGGAAGGAGAAAAAATTTGGAACTCAAAATCTTATAAAAATGAATGTTGAAACTTATCTTTACATGTGATTGGAAAAAATAAAATACTCTTTACCAAAAAAAAAAAAAGAAGAAGAAGAAGAAGAGAAAAGTAGCATGATGTAGAGAAGACAGCACTAAACTTGGAGTCAGGAAGACCTGGGTTTAAATACTACTTCTAGCCCTTAATAACTGTGTAACTATGGCCAAATCCATTTAACATTTCAAAACCTCAATATGCTTGTCTGTAAAATGGGGATAACAATAGACTTACCATATAGGATTCCTGTGAGAATTAAAAGAGATAATGCATGTAAAATAATTGTCAAATGTTAAAGAACTTTGTAAAAGTTAGCTATTATTATTATATGGAAGAGAAAGGAAGGAAAGAAAACAATGTGGAAAGCTTGAAATGATTAATTCTTTCCTCCAAACAACATGTAGAATTGCAAGGAAAGTCAGCAGTTCACCAAATAATATAACAAATATATAAATATATTTCTACAGACAGAACTTTGGCCATTCATTTGTTCTAATTGATCTCCATAACTCCATGTCAATATGCCCTTCACCTTTGTGAACCATTTGCTAATGTTTAGATTTTATGCTTTTTTTTTTGTTTCTTTCTCTGCCAAGTCTCTTCCCCAAACAAATTTTTTTATCATGTTCTCTAAGTGAATCAAATAGCCACTTGTAGCCTAGAAGGATTTCACTTTAGACGTTCTCTCACACACTCACATGCTCTTTCTTTTTTCTCTCACCCTGCCTTCCAAACATTTTGTGTCTCTGACTAAATTAGTGCTTAAAAGCAACACCAATCTGTACTTTTGAGGCTAAAGTGGCTGAAAAACATTACTTCCTTCTCTCTTGACTATCACTCAGAAAGAGAGAAGTATTCTGGCATAAGCAGCAACACCAGCAAAGGAGAAGTAACAAAATGTTGTCATTCAAGGCACTGATCTTGGCTGTTTTGATTTCAACTGGTAAGTCCAAATGACAATTTCAGGAACTTGCTTCATATTTTCAAAATGCGTTTTATTGTTTTTCTTCTTCAATCACAGAGACAGCCACAACCAGGCTACTTAATAATGACAGCTTAGTGATACATGAATTTCATCCACAAGTTAGATCTTTAAGGAGGAAAAGGGTATGTGGAAGTAACAGAAAATCCCTTTTATTTATCTTGAACTCAAAGGAAACAATTGGGAATCAGTGATTTTTTAAATTTTGTTTCAAGAAAAGTTTTTTCAACCAACATTTTAAATTTATTTTTGAAAAATCACTAGTGCTGACTAATGTGCATTAAGGTAACAGTGGTGTCACAGTTGGAAAGATTAATCACTAACTTTGCAATTCATCTCTTTTATGTGGTTTAACTTTAAAAGCAAACTATCTAATTATCTAAATTGTGTTTTTTTTTAAATTATCAATGTTGTCTCACTGAGTGTCATTGCGCTGGTATCAGAGTCAGGAAGACCTGGATCTAAATCTACCTTCTGTCACATACAGGCTATATGACCCTGGCCAAAACACCTAAGCTCTAAACGGCTCAGTGAACTTTCCAAAATTCTAAGTTTCAGAAAAGGTGCCAATCTGCACTGGTAGAATTTTTTTTTTTAACTGAAGTTTAATGAAATCACAGATCCCAGTTTAAAAAAAACAGAGCCTTCTCAGGATCTTAACTAGCATTGGCTCTGTGATATGACTCGCAAAATTCAATTTCATCTGTTACTATCAGATTATCTTTATTTCTTTCAATATCATATGTATCATGGGGGACATGACTTTGATTATATCACTTACTCTCAGACCAATCCCAGCCTTGGACAATCTAGACAAAGGATCTACCTTTTACCCAAACCTAAGCAGAACACAATAAACCAGAATTCACCAATATTAAATTCTTTGTAAAGTTTTTCTAGTTGGTTGGGCAGATAAGATGGTCCAGGTAGATAAAATTTTGGACAAGGTCAAAGATTTCCTTGAAAGATGGACTTAGAATGAGGAAGTGGGAAAGAAAAAAAAAACCTGGATCTTCCCAATAGTAAATGGTTATTAACATAAGAGAGAAATAATCATTTCTCTTGCCAAGCTCGTGTTTGTGGCTTCCATGACATAATCTATCCATCTCATCTTCTGACATCCCCTTCTTCTTTTGCCTTCAATCTTTCCCAACATCAGGGTCTTTTCTAATGAGTCCTTTCTTCTCATTATGTGGCCAAACTATTTAACCTTCCATTTCAGCTTCAGTATTTGTCCTTCTAATGAATAATCTGAATTAATTTCTTTAACTATTTTGACTGATTTGATCTCCTTACAGTCCTAGAGAGTCTCAAAAGTTTTCCCCAGAGCCATAGTTCAAGAGCTTCAATTCTATGGTGCTCAACTTTCTTCATGGTCCAACTTTCATAACCATACAGCACTATTTGAAATACCATAGCTTTGACTTTAAAGAATTTGTTGGCAAGTTGATCTCTCTGATTTTTAGTATGTTGTCCATATTTTCCATAGTTTTTTTCTCCCAAGGAGCAAGCATATTCTAATTCCATGGCTGAAATCACTATCTACACTTATTTTTGAGCCCAAGAGCCCAAGAAAGGAATGTCCTAATCAAAGAAAATAAATGTCTCATTTCACTCCTTTTCAGCATTGGCAGGACAATGGAATAGCATATGTGCTGGGAATCCTTCTAATATTATCAGGAGCTGTGATAGACATGGATGTGGACACTTTGGTGCCTCTAGGAGGTATGGTCTGCCAGATTTGCAATAAATATTAAGTCCTCAGCTCTACCTTCATGCTGTCTTCACCCTTCATTTCCACAAGATTGTTTTGTTTAGTTCCATTTTTAGGAAGTTATTGGACTCTTAGGTAATACTAAGAAATGTAGCTACCTGTATTGTTGATCCTGGGGCAAGTTTCAAGAGCTATGATGCCCAGACCAGACGCAAAATTTGGATTAGGATAAAGGAAATGACAAAGAAATAGGTGTCAACTCTCTTGAGTAGCTGAGTACACCCTAGTTATAAGACTGGAGGTTTATTCTTCTACATCAAGTATTTACTCATATGGATATTTTATTCATAATGATCTATATTATAAACTTAAGAATATCAGCTATACTATTGACTTAATTTGGACAAAGAAAGTTTCAAGCCATATATTCTTGTGAATTTTCTCTAATGCACTAGGGCTCACAAGGATTAGCATTTCTTGGTATCCAGTTTGCTATACATCAAGTCATCTGTCTAGTCACATCCACTACCCCCAGGTAAATTAAGGCAACAGCTCATTTATCTGACAACCTTAACTATATATAACTTATTTAAATACCAGAAAGGAAGGAGGAAAAATCTCATAAACAGCCAAGGCAGTTGTTATAAATTTTATGCACTTTTCCAGGAGACCTCTTCCAGCCTTTACTTGGAACCAACTTATATATATATTTTGCAAAAATAATAAAGACAGTGCCTGTTGAACTGTTTTTCAATTTATTGCTGGTTAAAAACATTAATTTTGAAAAGGTAAAGGAAGGCATGATACTAACAGTCTTTCAATGAAAAGAATAAAAATTTATATACAATTATAGCAATTTGAAGCCATTTGGTTAAATAGAAAAGTCATATATCTCTTGAGTACCATTGTCTTCTTACAGTAGAAAGGTGGGCACAGTAGATAGAGTGCCAGGCCTAGAGTCAAGGAAACATGAAGTCAAATCCAGCTTCTGACATGTACCAGCTGTGTGATCCTGGGTAAGTCACTTAACCCCATTTGCCTGAGTTTCCTCATCTGTAAAATGGGCTGGAGAAGGAAATGGCAAACCCCTCCAAGAAACCCCAAAAAGGGATCACAAAGAGTCAGACACAGCTGAAAATGACTAAACAACAACATAAATGGCACTCACAATGACTCTAAGTCATTAAGAAAAGGTTAAATTATAGTTAATTGCCTTTAAGAAGAGAGTTCTGATATGTTTACAGTAAAAAGAGTTTCAGGCCTTAAAGAGATAAACTTCAGTTATTTGGAAAATTAACTTATGTTAAATACCTTCACAAATGCTAGAAATGTGAAGTGCTACTCTGTATAATTACACCATCAGTCATCTTCCTTCTTCCTCACCATGGCTACCAATGCCTTCAGAAGGGGTCAAAAATGAGCAAATCAAAGTGAGGAAATGCAAGATGTAGGAATATACCAGGAATGTATTTTCTATGACACACTAGTCAGTGGGCTAATTAACAGTGCGATTTCATTAGTATGACTTGGCCACAAACCATGTATTTATTCTTATCTTTGTTCCAAAAGCCAAAGAACGCACAATGGAGTGGATGTAGAATGTACAGATGGATCAACTGTGTATGCTCCTTTCACTGGAAAGATTATTCGTCAAGTGAAACCTTATAACAATAATAATGCAATTAATAATGGCGTACTGATGTCTGGAGGAGGTAAGTATGCCAAAGCACTAACTTAGAAGATATTTTTTTTATTATTTTTTTTTTGCTTAGGCAGTCGGGGTTAAGTGACTTGCCCAGGGTCACACAGCTAGCAAGTGTCAAGTGTTTGGTCTGAGGCCGGATTTGAACTCAGGTCCTCCTGACTTCAGGGCCGGTACTCTATCCACTGCACCACCTAGCTAACCCAAAAGATATTTTTCCTTTAGGAGACTAGAGCTGTTGCTGGAAATGAATTTCAAATTGTTACATGTTGCCCTAGAAAGTAAAACTGGGACCAGTGGTCGGTAATTAGAGAGACATACTTAGTTCCAATATAAGGAAAACATTTCCTGACAACAAAAAGCATCCAAAGTGGATAGGGTTAGGGTTAGATATATATTAACTTCTACTGCAGAGAAGTGGAGGTTATATGACCACATCTCAGGAATACAGCAGAAGGGTTTCCTGCCCAGGTGTGGGTTAAATTGCAGGGTCTCTGAGGTTACTTCAAACTCTGATATTCTATGGTTTTATTTATTTCAGAGTGTATGCCATAGCTATACTTAGAGGGTTCACATCAAGGACCTTTGATATTATTGATATGGGACTTCTAGTGACGCGCATTGCAACTTCTTTACAAAGTCACAGTTTACTTTAGAGTTTCATTGACCAAAAATTTCCCCACTCCAAGGCCAAACTGGATACTCGGTACTTAGATAAGCAGGACCTCAACTGACAGACAAACAATCCATCACTAGCCCCATATTTAAAGTCTTTCTAGCTAGAGCTTCTATTTTTTAGGCCTAAGCCTTGAAGACACAGGTTCACTTTCATGTTATAAAGAGAGTAGATTTTTAGTAGAAGTGAGTTTGCTGCTTTTTGCAAATGATAAAATCTATGATGTAAATATATAAAATAAAATACATAGGATACTAAGACTCCTAGAAATCAACTGGTTTTATGTTCTTTCTTTGTTCATTTTCTTTAACATAATCTGCAAATGAGCATGGTACATTTTATTGGGTGAGTAGCTTTGCATAGTGGAAAGAGTCAAGAAAGATGTGGATTTTTGTCATGGCTCTTCTGTTTCTTTCCTGTATTACCTTGAGTAAGCCATTTCACTTTCTCTGCATCTCAATTTCCTCATGTGTTAAATAAAGATGATATATGCCTTACTTAGTTCACTATTATGAGAATCAATGAAAGCCAGTATTTGAAAGCATTTCATAATTTGTAAAGTACTAAAAAAATTTTCAAGCTATTATTTTCATTCTGGATTGTTGCAAAATAGGTGATTATTTTTTCCTTAGAAATGATGTCTATTAATTATATATGCATAAGGAGCACTTTTAGCGATCATAACTGTAACCTTAATATTTTGAAAGGTTTAATAAAACTCTCAAATTTAAAATGTTAATGTCTCTACAAGAACTGCATGGGTCTCCAAGACTTTCAGGTTTTCTTTGACTACAACAAACATACAGAGCTAACTAAGTATGGTCTGAAGGTTCATCCCTTTCTTAATACACTAAAACTTGTTTTAATCATTTTTATGGAATTTTTTAAATGAGCCATACACTTCTCTGCCCTCCTAAAATAGAATATACTGAGCTGAATTTATCTCTTTTTGATAATTCATTAAAAAATATTCATTATGAATGAATTGTAACATTGATATCCTCAGCCCCACACAACTGGCCTTTTTTTTTTTAAATGAGTATTCTCTATTCCCCTACAGTAATAGAACAATGAATGCACCTACCTATAGCGACCTCAGATCTACTTCTAATTACTACTTAGGATCACAGAATCATAGATTGATATCTGAATGGACCTTAGGTCACTGAGACCAACCTGTCATTTTACAGCTAAGGAATCTGAGGCCTACAGATGTTATATGACTTTTGCAAGTCATATTGTAAATCCAAGTCCTGCAAAACTGCAAAACCGTACTCATTCCAATGGACTGTGGCTTTTGCTGACTTTTAGACTTCTTGATCTCTCCCTATACCCCTCCTCCAAGGATTTTTTACCACTCTTTCATGAGGCACCCCAATTTTAAGCTATTTCAAGGTCTTTTAGCTGGAATCCAATGAATTAATGTTCACTAACTATCTCTCTGGTAATGAATTATAGAATTTTTCTAGAAGTTGAAGTCAGACTCAAAGGTCTATGGTTGATAAATAATTGTGCTTTAGTTCTACCTCAAAGTGTCCCAAATTTCAGGGTAGGGTGTGGGGAACAGATCCAACTCAGTGTACTGTGTAATCTCGTTGAATCTTTAAAATTGAGTAATTTAAATCTTCTTATTTTTTTTTTTAGGTTTCTGTGTCAAAATATTCTACATAAAACCAATTAAATATAATGGTTCTATCAAAAAGGGAGAGAAACTAGGAGTTCTATTGCCTATGCAGAGGGTTTATCCTGGTATCCAGTCACATATACACATCCAGAATTGTGACCTGAGTGATCCTACTGGTTATTTGTAAATGGAAAGATGAAGACAATTTTTTTTAACAACAGCAGCAGCTTATTAAACTTTTTCCCCTGCAATCTATTTGCTTTTCACTGAACTCGTGGTCATATAAGAAGCTGGTCATAGTGCATCAACATTTTGTTCACTTGATGTTGTTAGGGAAGCCTTTTTTTTTTTTTTCTATACTTTCTATCCTATTTGTTTGCCACTAATGGGATTTTGGGTACCTTTCCTTTACTCTTTTTAATTTTTTTCTAAGGCATATCTGAAATAAATAAATTCACCACACTTTATCTGTTGTGAATTTTTATCAAATTGGAAATAGGATTTTCATTTGAACTGTATTGCATGTTGTAATGGATATTACATGACCTGTATTTATTCTTTGTCCCATCCCCCAAGTTTCCACCCTTTAGTATAATTACTGTCACCACGAAAAAACTTTTATTTGCCCCTTATCAATGCACTTGATAAAAAAAAGATAGACCAAAGATTCCTTAGATTAAATTAATGGACAATTGCATCTCTGATTATTAACATGTAGAATAAAAACAGGAAACAAACTTTCTAACCAAAGCAACTCTTGGTTACTCTAGTTCAGGGGTGGGGAACCTACAGCCTCAAGGCCACATGTGGCCCTCTAGGTCCTCAAGTGTGGCCCTTTGAGTGAATCCAAACTTCACAGACCAGGGGATTTATAGATGCATAAGCAACACTGGGAAACTGTTCAACTGAATAAATTGAATTTATCCTAGATAAGAACCCCTTCTCTGCTCTGAATAGGCCCCCGCTATGGCCAAGTAAACTCTGTTAGAGGGATTATGAGTTTCATTTTGTTCCAGTTTTGAACTTAAACACCCAGGGGATGAGACTGTCAGGCCCAAACAATACTACTTCCTTGGAACAAAATGGGTTGTTTTAATTGGCATTTCTCTTATCAGTGATTTGAAGCATTTTTATATTATTGTTGGTTACTTGCCTTTCTTCTTTTAAGGTATGTCTGTTCATAACCATTTTTCTATTGGGTCAATTTCACTTATTTGAGAGATGTTAGACTTTTATTATAAAAACTTGCTGCAAAGATTTTTCCCCCAGTTAACTGTTTCCTTTCTGATTCTAATTACACTGACTTAGTTTGTGATTTTATGTGCAATTTTATGTGATTTTATGTGATTTTATGGGCCTTTTGGAGCGTGCCCAGGTCACCTAACATGGAGGCTCCCCTAAGGAGGCTTACCTGGGCATCCTCAGATCTCTCCCCAACCACATGGATAGGTTTTTATCATTTATTTAGTTAAGAGGTTTTCCCCTATCTATAGTTACAAAAAAGAATTTCTTTCCCTGCTCCTCCTATTTGTTTATATATATATATATATAGATAGATATAGATATATATACACACACACACACACACACACACACACACACACACACATATATGTTTATCTCTATCCATTTGGAGCATATTATGGTATATGGTGATTTAAACTTCTTTCTGACAGTCTGCTTTCCAATTTCTCAATAGTTTTTGTTGAGTCCCCACTATTTGCTATTCTTGGATTTGTCAAACATTCTGATACTATATTTGATTGTTTCTGAGTCTTGTATACATTACCTACTACACTGATTAATCTTTTTGTCTTTCAACCAGTAGTTTTGATGATTATTCCTTTGTAGCATAGTTTGAGATCTGGTACTACCTGTACCCTATTATTTCCTTTTAAGAATTTTACTTTTGATTCTTAACCTCCCCTCCATCCAGATGAATTTTTATATTTTTCTATAAACTAGAAAAACTTTGAAGATTTGGTTATAGATATGACACTAAATCTGTAAGTTAATTTAGCAAGTATTGTCATTTTTGCCATTTGATATGTTCTAAAAATGATCAATTTCCAATTATATTTCCAATTATGTCAGCCCTTATTTCTATAAAAAAGTGTTTTAGGTGTATTTATATAATTCTTATGTGTATTGATAAATAAATTCCCAAATATTTTTTAATATTCTGTAGTATTTCTGAATAAAATTTTTTTCATCTTCTTCCTTCTGATTTTTGTTGAGAATATATAAAAAGGCTGATGATTTTGTGCATTTATTTTGTATGTTGCTACTTTGTTGAAATTATTAATTTCTATATCAGTTTAGTTGATTCTTTAGGTTTCTCTAAATTAATCATCATATCATCTGCAAAAAGAGATAATTTAATTTTTTATTTTCATATGCTCACTCCTTCAAAATCTTTTTCTTGGTTTAGATGCTATTTACCATGGTAAATAATGGACAATCTATTACTATTCATTTTAGTGTTTTTAATATAAAAATAATATTTTTGTAGAAATATTTTCCCACATCATTGATGTAGTTTTTATTATTTTGTTATTAATGTGTTTTATTATGCCTATAGTTTTCCTCATATTGAACTATTCTTGCATTCCTAGTGCAATTTCAATCTTATAACAATGTGTAATCTTTTTAACATATTGTTGTAACCTCTTTGCTAATATTTTATTCAGCAGTTCTACATCAATATTCCTTAAAGATATTGTTATATAGGGGTTTCCCCCTCTACTTCCCTCTGTCTGGTTTAGATAATAGAACAAGCTTGTTTCAAAGAAGTTTTGTAGGATTCCTTCCTTCCCCTATTTTTGCAAACAAGTAAAGGTAGCACACACAAATGATAAATATGTATTTTAATTCCATTCTCATCTAGTATTTTTCAAACATCAATGATACCTAAATTTTTGAAATTTTACTTAGGTCTTTAATTTTTTTCTTGTTTGTCATTTCATAAGATTTATCTAGGTTTGGAAATAAGTTGCCCAACTATTATGCCTTTGTGATCTATAATTCCTTGTAATGCAATCAATTTTTCTTTCAAATATTTAGATTCTATGCCATTAGGTACATATGCATATATTCATATGTAGGTACATATACATATGTATTTATACATACATATGCATATATTCATATGTAGGTATGTACACATATGTATTTGTACACACTTATAATATATATACGCATAAAGATACTATATATAGTAAAATGCCATCAATACCATATATATAGTGAAATACTATCAACACTTTACACAGTTATATGTTGTATATCTATGTGTAACACTTTATAGGAATACATATTTATGTGTATATTTTATATATATGTCTATATAACACTTTATATCTATATTCATATCTATGTAAAATGTTATAGTATTTCATTACATATGGTGTCTTTAAGCAAAATATAGCTTCATTGCTTATTTTTTCAGCTGTATCTATTTTATTAATGCCGTGTCTGAGATCATGTTTGCTATGTCTACCTTAAAAAAAATTCAACTGAAGCAGAATAAATTCAGCTATAGCACCTTAATTTAACTCTGTGAATTTTTCTGTTATGTTTTTGTTATTATTGTTGTTGTGGTTAACAGTATGTTGTTGGATCTGCTTTCTGATCTATTCTCTTAACCTCCTCCAATTTTTAGGTTAATTCTTCCCATTCACATTGATTTTTTTGCATGACAGTCATCTGTTTCCTACTATCATATCCTTTTGTATTTTTCCTCTCTTTACAAAGAATAATTTCTTCTTTTTGAAGGAATTAGATCAAAACTATTAATCTATAATTAAAGGAGTCTATTCCTTCTCCTTTGCCCCTCTTCTCTTTGCTTATTTCAGGTTTTTTTCCACTTTCTTACTCTCTTTAATCCTCCCTTTAAGACCCAAATGCTGAATCTGAAGTTTGTTTATTTGCTTGTTTGTTTGTTTTTTGTCTGTTTTACTAGGTTGAGTTCAATGGGTTTTGTTTGTTTGTTTTTGTTTTGGGGTGGCAAAGCAATTGGCATTAAGTGACTTGCCCAGGGTCATATAGCTAATAAATGTCAAGTCTGAGGCCAGATTTGAAATCAGGTCCTCCTGACTCCAGGGCTGATACTCTATCCATTGCATCACCTACAACAAACTCTGTGTGTGTGTGTGTGTGTGTGTGTGTTTGAGAGAGAGAGAGAGACAGAGACAGAGACACAGAGACACATGGAAAGATTGAGAGCGTGCTCAACTTTCCTTTGGTTCAGATAAAGGTGAGGTTTATTATTTCCTCCTTGCTTGTATAATCTTTTCATATACCACATTTATCACATATATGCCAAATTTTAACTTCTCCCAGGTCCTTATTTCTTTCCCAATGTATTACTTTTGCCCTCTCTACCCTCTCTTTTTAAAACCAAGAAAATGAAACAAAATCACACCCAGGCTCTGTGTTTATCTTACTTACTTAGCTCCTTCTGTGACAATAGGATTCAGAAGGGACATTTGATTCTTCTCCCTCTTAGAATGTAAGCACTTCATCATTTATCCCCTCCTCATTACTCAAATAAATTTATTTGTCTTTCTAGATTTCAATCAATCAATAAATAAACATTTATTAAATACCTACTATGTGCCAGTCACTGTGCTAAGTGCTAGGGATACAAAAAAAGAGGCAGGAGACAGTCCCTGGCCTCAAGGAGTTTACAGTCTAATAAGGAAAAACATATAAACAAGTATACACAAAGCAAGCTTTATACTGGATTAATAGAAAATAACAAATGCAAGGCACTAAAATTCTTTAGTATAAAGAGGTTGGGAAGGCTTCCAATAAAAGATGAGATTTTAGTTGGGGTTTAATGGAAGCCAGGGGTAGGGGTGGGGTCATTGAACAGAGGAGAGGAGGAAGAGCATTCCAGGCATGGGGGACAGTCAGAGAAAATGCCCAGAGCTGAAATGGAGTGTCTCTTTCGTGGAACAACCAGGAGGTCAATGTCACTGGATCAGAGTATGTGTCAAGGAATACAGTGTAAGAGGACTTGAAAGGTGGGAGGGGATTAGGTTATAAAGGGCTTTGAATGCCAAACAGAGCATTTTGTATTCTATCCTAGAGGCAATAGGGAACCAGTGGAGTTTATTGAGTGTGTGTGTGGGGGGGGTAATAAGATGATTAGACTTTTACTTCAGGAAAATCACTTTAGTGGCTGAATGGAGGGTGGATTGAAGTGGGGAGAGACTTGAGGCTGGCAGGCCCACCAGCAGGCTATTGCTGAGGTGATGAGAGCCTGCACTATAGTGGTGGCAGTATCAGAAAAAAAGAAGGGGGAGTATTCTAGACATGTTGCAAAGGTGAAAATGACAAAGCTTGGCAATATTTGGATATGACAGGTAAGAGATAGTGAGAAATCCTGGATGACTTCTAAGTTGTGAGCCTGAAGGACTGAAAGGATAGTGTTGTCATGTACAGTAAT